CACCCGAATCCGTGAACACATTACACCCGTCCTCATCAAGCTCCACTGGCTCCCCCTCCCCCCCACCCACCCCCTTTTTTCTTTCCCTTCTTTCTCTACCTCACTTTTCCTCTAATGAGTTGCAACACTGATAACGAGCCTGATGATCTTCCATTGATTCGGCTATCACTTGCTTGTCTGGTAATTGATCCGTAGCTGAGCCTCTAGTTAATTATATGGGCTTCGACATGGACCCCTGCCCCGGGGGGAATTCTCAAGTCCTGCACAATAATAGTTTTAATAAAGGAGCCTGCGAATCTCCTGCGTCCTTTTTCTTCTACCCTCTTCCTGCTTCCTCTGATTTTTCTTTTTAATCTTTCCATTTCCTCCCTGTTTCCCTCTTACATCTCCGCATTTTTTACTTCTGGGTGTCTTTCTCGTTTCCTCTGTCATCACGGCCATTACCATCAGCAGAGGCAAGGGGTGGGGGGAGGAAGGGAAGGGGAAGATATTGGCAGAGTCCACTCCTCCCTCCCACAAATAACAGCCATTAACCAGCCAGGTCAGAAGCTGAGCCACCAGCTTGACTTGAACAACTGAGTGCCACTCTAAAAAACCCATGGACTCGCACATTTACAGACCAGAGGGAGGGAGTTAGAGAGGGAGAGGAGGAGAGGCGTGAGCGGGAAAGCAAAAAGGAACCTCGGCCGCTAAATTGTCACTTAACATAATTTGCATAAGCCTCGTGCATTACCTTTTCACAACGTTGTTAAGAGCAGAGCGTGTGGACAGGAGGTGACACAGTACACCTTTCACGACAAGGCTGCTTCTGACAAAACACAGGCCACTTTGAAAAGGATGAATGAAGAGAAGAATAGAAAAAAAAGACGAGAGAGAAACATGAAGATGTAAATTGAGCTTGAGACAAAAGACATAACTGCACATTTGCAAAGTGCTAAGACACGCTGTGCTTTTCCCTCTGTACATAACAGTAAGGACAGATGTCATCATCTCAGCAGAGGTTAACAGTATACTGCCATTAGTACATCGCACAAAAAGGCTTTTAACAGACGACCAAGTGCCCGTCTGCAGCAATTTAACACAACATCTGAAGCGACTTTATATATCAGGAGCCATTTAATGTTGCCAGGGAGAGAAGTTCTCTCTCTGTCCCTCTCTCTTTTGTTCCTTGGCGGGGGAGAGATCACAGTGACATCTCCCTCTCGCTGCGGACTCAGGCCCCTGGTCTGTCATTTCTCTAATGATGGTGGGGTGAAAAGACCGGGCTGCCGAAGAGGAGATGGGAGTTTAAAGGGAAGGAAAGCAGAAGGAAAGGAGGAGGTGGTGGGGGGGGGGAGGTCTTCATTGTTTGAGACGTGTCCTATGCTCTGTCAAAGGAAGGATAGATCTGCTTCCTCTTTTTTTCCAGTTTTATCCTCCTGTGTGTCTTTCTCTCCACGTCTGCCTCCCTTTACTCCTCCATCCCTCATTTTATTCCCTTACCTTTGCTGCTGTGGGGACCAATTTGGCTAAAATGGAACCTCTTCCTCATTTTTTTCTTAATTAAAATCTGAGAGCCTCCGCGGGGGGGTTTACTCCGAGTGTGTGTGTGTGTTTGTGTGTGTGTGAGTGTGTGTGTTAGTATGCATGCTGGTGGCAGATTGCCTGCGTTCCATTAGTCTTTCATTAGAGTGGGAGAAAATCAAACAAAGGCACCAGATTTCTACAGATATAACAAGTCTATTGATAGTTGTTGTTTTTTTCTTTTTGCTTGTTTATTTTGTATTGCTGCCCTACAAACAGAGTCATTTTCAGCTCGGATTAAAAACCTTTCTGTGGCGTATAAAAAAAGCATTTTTCTGATTTCCAAACAAAGAGCAAATACTTGATAACAATCTGAGACAATAATGCTTGTCTTCAAGATGTTTTTTCTTCAAGGTAAGAGGCTCTTTAGCTTAGTGCCGTGTGTGTGTGTGTGTGTGTGTGTGGGTCGGGATGGTCCCTCAGGAGGACTGAAAGTTGCTCTGAGACGTGCCGGCCGCTCGCAGCGCAAATGGTAATAAGGCAGGGGGACAAACGCTCCCCCCACCTTCCCCTGCTCCTCGATGGCGCTTTGCCCCCACCTCTCCCTCCTCCTTAGCAGAGGAGGGGTGTGTGTATGTGCGAGTGAGGAAGCGTGCAGCGCGATGTCATTGAGCATCTCAGAGTGGAGCAGCACAGTTGACTCAGTTGAGCTTGCACCGGCCCCGACACACACACACACACACACACACACTCCCTCGCTCTTACATGCTCTGGCTCTTGCACACACACATACAGAGAGGCTCTCAGTTCCTCAGCGGCTGCAGCGGAGTACAGAGGAGTCAGAGAGAGAGAGAGAGAGAGAAGCAGGGAGAGAGGGAAAGAGCGAGGACAGGCGGCACGGTAACGGACGTCGAGAGAGGGACACAACCTCAGAGAGAGAGAGAGCGTAGCTTAGGGAGAGAGAAAGGGAGAGAGAGAGAGAGAAACGGGAGGCAGGGAGAGCTGGATAGCTGGTGGCTCACTCCCACACCTCATCTTCACTTTGCTGGGACAGGCACAGAATTGATGGTAAGAGACATTCATGCATTTCATTGGCTTTATTGCTTTAAAATACTCTTTTCATGGGACTTTTTTTTGTATTTACTTACTTCTTTTTTTTTTACGTTGGAAAGATTTTGTGTGAAACTGTTTTATTTACGTTTCACATTTAGTTGTTTGACTGCTGTTTTTGATTCACTCTGAAGGACACGTTTTATATTTAAGACTTACTTATTATATTGTAAAAAAATATAGAAAATATTTATTTCATAGATTAGGTTGCAAATATTTGTTTTGATGCTTATGTATGCATGTGTTCAGTGTTGAGTGTGCAGCTCCAAGGTTGTTCAACTGTTTCTTACTTTTTGGAATTTATTCAATATTAGAGCACTTCACATCTGAATGTTTGCATGCAAGTGACTGTGTTTCAAAGTGTGTGTTTGTGTTGGGTCCATGTCCAAGTCCAAAATGAGTGACAGATGGATTAAAGCAAAATCTGAGGCCACGGGCAGCAGCATCAGAAACACCTCCTTGCTTGATTCCCATACCCCCCCTCTTTTTTAATTTTTAACCATTCTTGCTCATTCTCACCGGCCCCCCTCCCCACCTCCATCCTTCCTCACCTCCTGTGCACCGCTCGTCTTGCCCTGTCCAAGACGAGGCCCCCCGAGGACTGCCCTCTTTTTCTTTCTTTCTTCTCAAGAATTAACTCCACACACACTCGTCCGCCACCAGAGCTGCCAAGAAACCTCACACACACACACACACACACACACACACACACACACACACACACACATCTTCTCTACTCTCACTGTTATCCCCCCTGAGAAGCAGGACCAGTGAGAGACGGAAAAAAGGCAACACGACCCCAAAAGAACCAACCTTCACTGACTTTTTTTCCCCCTTCTCTCCTCCTTCACACTCCCAAATCCCTCCCTCCCTCCCTCTCTGTCTCTTCCTCTCTCTGTCTAAGTCCAAGGAGGCAGACTTGGATGTGAGAGGCAGTGAGTGCGACACGGTCCCACAAGAGCCCAGCACAGACCCGGAGCCGCCCAGGCCGCCTCCAGTTAAGGCTAACGGACCAGAAGGCACCTCTGGCGTTTGCACGAGCATCCCCTCCAGTAGCAACAGTAGCACCACCAGCAGCGGCGGCAGCAAAAGTGGTCTGGGTGGCATTAGCATCGTTAGCAGCAGTGCTGAGGGAGCAGGCGAAAGCTCCATGCAGTTCAGCACCAGACCGCCTAGTGCTGAGCAGCCGGGCTTCATGGGGACATGGCAGCAGCAGGGCACTGACAGCAACCTCCTCTACAGAATGTCCCAGCAGGTATGTCAGCCTTACCCTTCATCCTCTGCATCTTCCCTCTTTCTCTCTCTAAATATTCTCAATCTAAATTATTCAAGAACCAAACTTTTATATTTCTACTTGTGGTGTATTTTCAAAATGTTGCTGTTTGGATTCCACTAACTCTAGTCTGTGTGTGAAAAAGAGAGTGTTTGCATGTGTGTCTGAAGGTGTGTGTAAGGGGTGGGTGGGTGGATGTGAGCATTGTTTTGTTTGTGATATTTTAAATTAAGAATCCGTAAATATAATTGAAATGTTGCCTCTTTTTTCCCACTTTTGGAATATATCAGATTTGATGTGTATCATTATGTTGTTGTTCTACACACACCATGTCTGAGTGTTTTCATTCATGCAGCCAGTGTGTGTGTGTGTGTGTGTGTGTCTGTGTGTGTGTGTGTGTGTGTGTGTGTGTGTGTGTGTGTGTGTTCCTTTTGATTTTAGTGTTTCAATGTGAATAATTTTCTATCCCATAAAACAAGTACAAATATCATATTTTGTGTATTTAGAAAAACACACATTTTAATGCAAAATTTGCACAATATCAGATAATTCGTTTATTTCACCGTTTGATGGATTATCATATGTCCGGACTCATTACATACATGCTTAGGTGTCCGTAATTGGTCTATGAGCGGTGTGGAGTTTAAAAGCAAAGCAATAGCAGTGTTTTGGTAACCCCAGTGCCGATAAAGGCTCGGGAAGGGGCCCCCCTCTGGGACCGGCTAATTGACTTCATGTGGCCGAGGCAGGAAGCCCCTTGCGCGGCTACAGAACAGCAGAGGAGCCGTGCAAGAACACAGGCTCGGCTGGAAAAGCAATGATGATAACGGATAGCCTGCACCGGCTGAACAAAGTCCACATTTCCTCCCGACATGCCTCGCCTGTTATCGTGGATGTTACACTGAATTCCTCTGTAGTTTAATAGCTTTTAATATTCTTTCAATCAGCCCTCGAAGTTAGAGAGTTATTTTTAAGAGACGCGGTGTTTTGTGTCCGGTAAGGAACAGGGAAGAGGAGTGAGAGTTTGTGCGTAAGTGTGTGTGTGTGTGTGTGTGTGTGTGTGTGTGTGTGTGTGTGTGTGTGTGTGTCCGTTCGCGCGCACGTGTGTGAGGGGGAGACAGTAAAGATAGAGGATGGTTGTTATGTTGCAGTTAATCATAGCGGGTTCTCCGTACCTTGCACGTGCTGTTACGCACTGAGGCCACAGCGGCTCTTGCGCAACAGCCGCGGCTCCGTGTTGGAAATGATGAGAAACTTATTCTGTCACCTTGACGGTATTTACAGCCCGTATAGTTTACGGGTTTTTTTTAATCCCAGAGGTGTAATCAAGAAGGCGAAACTGATGTGTTGAGACTATAACATCCCACAGTTATGGAACAGGCGATCACATTTCTAGAAACATTTTCCCGATATGGTGTGTGTTTCTAAATGAAATAAAGCTTGTGTTTTCTTGCATTTCAAGCAGCCTAATCTCTCTCAAAGATTATACTTATAAAACGATTGCACCCCTGCACTTTGCATGCAAAATCCTACATTTTTTACAAGCTTGTTTTCTTAGATTTTCCTATCATTCAAACTATTGATAAGAGATTTGGAGGAGCCTTTTCTCTCCTCCCGTATATGAAGCAGGTGGATCATGGGCCCCTGCGCTCAGCATCAGCTGGGACCCCACGTTTGCATCCCCAATCCTTTTTACAAATGCGCACCGTTGTTTCAATATAATCAGCTTTGGGACTCGGTGTTATTTATCCTTCCTCGCATCACTTAGAAGACATCTTCCCATGTTTAGTAGGCATGACATAAATTCTCCGAAGGAAGCCTGTTCCTTGACAGACTCGCCTTCTTGGAATCTAACCGATAATGACTTTGTGTTTGCCGAGGCTGGCGCACCCTGGGGTGTTGGTGGAGAGAAATGCGTTATGGGCTCGTGTTTCAAAACCTCCACTCTCTCCTTTAAAGATCAACTTGGTGACACGAGGGATGCGGTATTTCATCGTTGTTAGGCCAAATTATATTTCCATCTGATCGATGGAGACGCAACACAGCTCTGCGCACTGCGTTTAGGACAGGGCATCACCAAGACAAACATTTGGAAAATCCTTGTAAATCACATACAAAGGCAATGATTTAGAAATGAGAAAATATCACTTTAACATCAATTCTGTTATTTTCAAGTGACATCGATATCGATAAGCTCATGCTCAGCAGGTGTCGGATCATCTCGGTAAACATCAGTGACCGATGAAAGTAAAACACATTTTAAAGCAAAGATTTACATTTTATAATTATAAATCAGACGATTTGATCTTGTTTTAGCTGTTTTAGCTGTGTTTGATAACGTAATCGAGCTACGAAAAGCAGCACCTGTCTCAACCAGCGTAAAGGAAATTAACAATGTCAATTTGAAAACAAATGCCACCTCAATATTTATTGATTTCATTTGTGTATATCCCTATATTCAAGACGATTTCGTGTATTTTATATTTCGCCTGTAATTGTAAATGATTTTGCTATTCATAAATGTATGCATTTTCAATTATACGTAGATGTTTTAAGGACTATGAAACATTTCCCCCGTCATATTTTGGCTAGAGGGGATGCAATTACAAATTGGAGAACTGATCAAACATAAGGGTGTATTAAATATTTGTTCTCATGTTTTATTAAGTTTGGGGTGTTAAGATTGCATATTGATAACCTAAAAATGTACATGCAATTGCTTTCTATTATTGCTTTTTTCTCTAAACTAACGAAATAAACAACAGTGGTGATTAAGGCACGAGTGCAGGCGAATGATTTACACCTTTCACAACAGGCCTTAATAGGCTTTTAATCTTTGAATAAACTTGATTTTTTTTACCAAACCACATAGCAGGAGATTCACAACCTTCATAGTGCACGCACATGTGTCAACAGGAAACAACAAGAGCAGCATGCAATTTAAATGAAATCAATGGAATGGATTCGATAAATACTGCCTATTTTCTCAGCTTCCTAATGTTCAGAAATCGGTTTTACAAAACACTGCAAGTGGGAACTTTAATAATTGTTTTTATGAGGGAAAAAATACAAACATTAATTAGGACTTGAATTATTTCCCAGGCATTACGGAGTGATAATATTTGGAGCCTTAATTGACCCGCTGCTGTACATGAGAGGCTATGAATATCGACCCTTGCAAGTTAAAAAGCCCGGAGTTAAGTGATACGACGAGCCTAATTGGTTCATCAGGGATAATTCCTGCACAATGCAGCAGCCGTAGGCCGCGTCGGTTTATTTCATTATTATTTCCTTCTCCGCTTCAACTCGGAGCAACGTGGGAACAACTCGTAAAAATGTGCCTTAACCTCCACATGAGGATCTGGTGCTGCCACCCAGGCTCACAGCACAGAACTGAGAGAAAGAGAAGAAAAATCAGGGTATGACTTTAATCCAAAGAATCTCTCTAAAGAGCCCCTCTCTTTTCTTTTTACAAGGGTGCTGTAACGCGGCTTCCTCTGAAGTGCGACATGTCGACTATGGGCCGAGACCTGGAAGAGGTGCAGCTCCTGTCTGCTTAGAGCTCCATCTCACACGGACACTCTAATATAGATAGCAGGTTTTATAATGTGCACAAATACAAGTGAATGCAGAATTTTGCATTAAAATAATATAAACCGTTTCTTCAAATATAAGGTTAGGATTCAAATGCATTTTGCAAACCTCTAGATTTTTTCTTTTTTTTATGTTGATATCAAAACCTGACACACAACAAGCCTGCATTATTTTCCTTCCCTCATATCATACATTTGAAAATGAAAAATACAAACAAAAGCAAAATGGTTGTTATAAAAAACATATTTATGGTATATAGTCATAGTTATTTTTCTTTCTATTAAAACAAATATTTTGTGGCAAAATAGATGTTTTTTTTATTGAAAAACTAAATTGTTGATCGTAAAATGATGTTGACTTTAATTCTACTCTGAATTATCTAAAGCCTTTCCCAGCCTTTCTTTAATATTTCCGCGTTTTCATTTCTCGTTTTACTTCTGATTACAATCAATCTGGTAGATTTTCACTTATTCAATTTTTTTGGTTAATGCATTGCAGCATTTTCAATCCTGTCTGTGTGTGTTAAACCTCTGACTGCAGTTAGCTCTCAGGACATGATGACAGACGTATTACTGAAATAACATGCACTGCTTTGTTATGTCTGACTGAAGAAATTAGGTTGATATTATCCTCTTCAGAGCAGATCACAGAATGCGCTAATCTGTCTATTAACACACTGATACACTTACAGTAGTGAGAGTGTGTGTGTGTGTGTGTGTGTGTGTGTGTGTGTGTGTGTGTGTGTGTGTGTGTGTGTGTGTTTTACACAGTGGGGTACAGGCATGTTGGATGTTGCTTATGTGGTGCATATGCATTGCTTCTTGCCATTGTGTGGGACTGGGAAGCAGTGATTTGATGCATATGTGTAGAATTATCCACAGTCAGTGAGTGTGTGTGTGTGTGTGTGTGTGTGTGTGTGTGTGTGTGTGTGTGTGTGTGTGTGTGTGTGTGTGTGTGTGTGTGTGTGTGTGTGTGTCGTTAAACTCAACTGTTATTATTTCCATGTCTGTCTTTGATGGGTCGTTGCACACAGAGCATATGGATGCCTATATGTTCATGTATCTGGTGTCATGTGTGAATGTGTGCATGAGTGTGTGTGTGTGCTCGGACACTGAAGTTTACGTATGCATGCGTGCGTTAAGGCGTTTGTGTCTGTGCTTTAGCCATTTCTTTTTCTGAGTGGGTGGCTAAATTCTCATATGCCAGTTATGTGAGTGTGCGTGAGGGAAAGAGAGCGAGCGTGTGCAGTTATGCAGGTGTGTGTCCTCTCCCTCTGAGTGTGTGTTTCTGTGTGTTGGCTCTGGCTCCATGTGTGTGTGGGTGCGAGGTGAAGTGTCTCTTGGCTGGCCTTGGCTGGAGAGCTGGAGGAGAGCAGAGGTGAAAGAGGA